CTGTTCTCTCCAAACATAACAAAGTTCTCTTGTTTTATAACAAATTATAGTCCTGGTGATACAAAGTGGTCTTCCAATACAACACAGATCCCTCTAGTAGGCGCTTTGACAAATTCTTCTCTAGAAATTTAAAGTAATAAAATAAGTACTAGGCTTTGTGAAATACAGTAGACTTACATTAAACTCGTATGAATCTCAACACGGTGTTATTATTGTATAATACACTCGTATTAATCTTACCACGGTGTTATTATTGTATAATACACTCGTATTAATCTAACCACGGTGTTATTTTTGTATAATACACACGTATTAATCTTACCACGGTGTTATTATTGTATAATACACTCATATTAATCTCACCACGGTGTTAATATTGTATAATACACTCGTATTAATCTCACCACGGTGTTATTATTGTATAATACACACGTATACACACATATGTTACAATGTATCATACACACGTATACACACATATGTAACAATGTATCATACACACGTATACACACATATGTTACAATGTATCATACACACTATACACATATATGTTACAATGTATCATACACACGTATACACACATATGTTACAACGTAACTGTTCACGTGTAGAATTTGTATTGTGTTGTTCTTCAGTATGCCTTACCAGCATTCATGGCCAAGGACGGGGCATACAGTACAATGGACATGTACAGAACCTGGAAATATAACGAGAAACACAATAATAAATTAAAAAAACACTTACGTACATAATAAAACAAAACAAAAAAAGTATAGGTCACACGTCTGTGACGATAACGGAAAATGTGTCCGCTTCAAAAACTAACAAAGGAATGCCGCAAAATCAACAAAACCGTAATTTGAATGCAAAATCGATTAAACTAGGGCAAAATGTGATGGCAGGAACGTTTGACATTGATCTGGGACTAGTGATAAAGTACAAGTAGACCACAACCAGGGGTTCCGGAAGGGTAAGCGTCTTCTGCTTCATCGACGACCCCCGCCATGTAAATGTATGTTAAATCCATTAAAGATCACGTCCTCAAAGCAAGCCCCGGTGCAGTGACAACAATACAACAAGGAGTGACATTCCATCATACAAAGTCAACTTGTCTATAGCTTTCATAAAAACGCAGAATTTCGATAACCATTACTTGTAAAAACTAATTATATACTACAGATACAGTTTTATCAGCGTAGATCAATGAAGAATATAGATAATGTAAGATAAGTACAGAGAAATATAGCTATCTAATGTGACAAATGTCCTGTGCATTATATACATTTTGCTGCACCGTGCTGCTGTTCCGAATGAGCCCGTAGACCTAGAGCTATCAGTGGTATATCGCCACTTATCTCACAGACCTTTTTAATAGTATATGTGATACGGCATCTCCAAATCATTCATTTTTAGTCAGCTATACTAACAAAATATTAACAGTGAGCTCACCATCTGGACGACGTAAATAATGGATACCAGGGAGCGTGTAGGACTACCGAATCTCATCTCCAGGTACTGAAAGTAAAAAATAATTATATACCATAGCGTATACATTGGATATCGGGGAGTGTGCAGGACTACCGAATCTCATCTCCAGGTACTGAAAGTAAAACATAATTATATAACATAGCGTATCCAATGAATATCAGGAATCATTTAAAACTCCCGTGTTCAAATTATCGTACCAGTATCCCCCTACCCCTGTCCCAATTATCGTACCAGTATCCCCCTCCCCCTGTCCCAATTATCGTACCAGTATCCCCCTCCCCGTGTCCCAATTATCGTCCTAGTATTCCCTCCCCCTGTCCCAGTTATCGTCATAGTATCCCCCTCCCCCTGTCCCAATTATTGTACCAGTATCCCCCTCCCCCTGTCCCAAATATCGTACCAGTATCCCCCTCCCCCTGTCCCAATTATCGTACCAGTATCCCCCTCCCCCTGTCCCAATTATCGTACCAGTATCCCCCCTCCCCTATCCCTATTATCGTACCAGTATCCCCCTACCCCTATCCCAGTTATCGTACCAGTATCCCCCCTTCCCCTGTCCAAATTATTGTATAAGTACCCCCTCCACGTGTCCCATATTTTGTACTTATATCCCCCTCCTTTCTATCCCAGTTATCGTACTAGTATTCCTCCACACCCTGTCCAAGTTAACGTACCAGTATTCCTCTACCCCTATCCCAGTTATCGTACCAGTATCCCCCCTCCCCCCTTGTCCCAGTAATCGAACCAGTATTCCTCCATCCCCTGTCTCTTTTATCGTAGTACCAGTATTCCCCCTCCTCCTTATCCAGTTACCCTACTATAAGCTCCCTCCTTCCTATCCAGTTACCCTAATAGAAGCTCCCTCCTACCTTACTAGACGCTCCCTCCTCCCTATCTAGTTACCCTAATAGAAGATCCCTCCTCCCTATCCAGGTACCCTACTATAAGCTCCCTCCTCCCTATACAGTTACCCTACCAGAAGCTCCCTCCCCCTTATCCAGTTACCCTACTATAACCTCCCTCCTTCCTATCCAGTAGCCTTACTAGAAGCTCCTTCCCCCATCCAGTTACCCTACTATAACCTCCCTCCTTCCTATCCAGTTACCCTACTATAAGCTCCCTCCTCCCTAACCAGTTACCCTACTAGAAGCCCCCCCCTCCCTATCCAGCTACCCAACTAGACGCCCCCTCCTACCTTACTAGAAGCTCCTTCCCCCATCCAGTTACCCTACTATAACCTCCCTCCTTCCTATCCAGTAGCCTTACTAGAAGCTCCTTCCCCCATCCAGTTACCCTACTATAAGCTCCCTCCTTCCTATCTAGTAACCTTACTAGAAGCTCCTTCCCCCATCCAGTTACCCTACTATACGCTCCCTCCTTCCTATCTAGTAACCTTACTAGAAGCTCCTTCCCCCATCCAGTTACCCTACTATAACCTCCCTCCTTCCTATCCAGTAGCCTTACTAGAAGCTCCTTCCCCCATCCAGTTACCCTAATAGAAGCTCCCTCCTACCTTACTAGAAGCTCCTTCCCCCATCCAGTTACCCTACTATAACCTCCCTCCTTCCTATCCAGCTAACCTACTAGAAGCTCCCTCCACCCTATCCAGTTACCCTCCTAGAAGCTCCCTCCTCCCTATATAGGTACCCTAATAGAAGCTTCCCCCTCCCTATCCAGTTACGCTACTAGAAGCTTCCTCCTCGCTATCCAGTTACCCTAATAGAAGCTTTCTCCTCCCTATCCAGTTGCCCTACTAGAAGCTCCCTCCTTCCTATCCAGTAACCTTACTAGAAGCTCCTTCCCCTATCCAGTTACCCTAATAGAAGCTCCCTCCTCCCTATCCAGTTACCCTACTAGAAGCTCCCTCCTCGTCGTACACGTTACACACACACTTATATTAAAGCTTTTTTTCATTTCATCTCGCGATAAAATTCTATATGATAGAGTGTTTGTCTGATACAAGCTTAAATTTCTTTATGACTAGTACAAACATATTTTTATTAACGTTCCGTGGATAATAATCTTGTTCCAATATTTCAATTAATCTATTGTTTTTGACCCTTTACATATAAAGAAAAAACAACATTTGTCGCTTTCCTGATAAAACAACAGGGTGATCTTTGATGAGGCTGGCCTCCGGATTTCCTGATAAAACAACAGGGTGATCTTTGATGAGGCTGGCCTCCGGATTTCCTGATAAAACTACAGGGTGATCTTTGATGAGGCTGGCCTCCGGATTTCCTGGCTCGTGAAATAGAAATACATTAACTCAAACTGTACAATTTGTACTTTCAATTAGTTGTTTAGGTGTAAGGAGCGGAATGTATAAGGTTTAATTCATAACCAAACATGAACATGATTCCATAGAAAGACCAAACACACAATACAGTAGACAATACATTGATAGATATTACAGAATTAGACCTTCCATGTTCAAATTAATTAACTTAATTTCTGTTAGAAATAAGAAGAAATTGACTAATCTTTACACATTTTTAATAGCTGCTTCACAACTGAGATCAAATGAATAATTACATGTATTGTCCATCCTCCATAATATGTCTGTGTTGCTGTGTATCACTCACTCAGTTTTGTAAAATGTGTCGTAATGTTTATGCTGATAAGCCGAAAGGCTAAAGGCCAATACACTTATAAACTCACCAAACAGCACAAACTGACTCTCATGTATATGTATGCGATATCTGAAGTACAAATGTCTCAAATTATCTCTACAGTAAAAGGTGACTCACAATTATCTCTACAGTAAAAAGTGACTCACAATTATCTCTACAGTAAAAAGTGACTCACAATTATCTTTACAGTAAAAAATGACTCGAGATTTTCTCTACAGTAAAAAGTGACTCACAATTATCTCTGCAGTAAAAGGGACTCGAAATTATCTCTACAGTAAAAGGTGACTCACAATTATCTCTACAGTAAAAAGTGACTCGAAATTATCTCTACAGTAAAAGGTGACTCACAATTATCTCTACAGTAAAAAGTGACTCACAATTATCTTTACAGTAAAAAATGACTCGAGATTTTCTCTACAGTAAAAAGTGACTCACAATTATCTCTGCAGTAAAAGGGACTCGAAATTATCTCTACAGTAAAAGGTGACTCACAATTATCTCTACAGTAAAAAGTGACTCGAAATTATCTCTACAGTAAAAGGTGACTCACAATTATCTCTACAGTAAAAAGTGACTCACAATTATATCTATAGTAAAAAGTGACTCACAATTATCTCTACAGTAAAAAGTGACTCGAAATTATCTCTACAGTAAAAGGTGACTCACAATTATCTCTACAGTAAAAAGTGACTCACAATTATATCTATAGTAAAAAGTGACTCACAATTATCTCTACAGTAAAAAGTGACTCGAAATTATCTCTACAGTAAAAAGTGACTCACAATTATCTCTACAGTAAAAAGTGACTCACAATGATCTCTGCAGTAAAAGGTGACTCACAATTATCTCTACAGTAAAAAGTGACTCACAATTATATCTATAGTATAAAGTGACTCGAAATTATCTCTACAGTAAAAAGTGACTCACAATTATCTTTACAGTAAAAAATGACTCGAGATTTTCTCTACAGTAAAAAGTGACTCACAATTATCTCTGCAGTAAAAGGGACTCGAAATTATCTCTACAGTAAAAGGTGACTCACAATTATCTCTACAGTAAAAAGTGACTCACAATTATCTTTACAGTAAAAAATGACTCGAGATTTTCTCTACAGTAAAAAGTGACTCACAATTATATCTATAGTAAAAAGTGACTCACAATTATATCTATAGTAAAAAGTGACTTACAATTATCTCTACAGTAAAAAGTGACTCACAATTATATCTATAGTAAAAAGTGACATACAATTATCTCTACAGTAAAAAGTGACTCACAATTATCTCTACAGTAAAAATTACTCGAAATCTGTACTTAGTGACTCGAAATTATCTCTACAGTAAAAATGACTCGAAATCTGTTCTTAGTGACTCAAATATCTCTAAATTCTCTTACATTGTTAAGTGACACAATATTAGTTCTTTAATAAAAGTGTAAAAATGACTTTTACTGTAAAAGTTGACACAACAGTGTAAATTTACTCTATCTCTACAGTGTTGAGTGACTCAAATATCTTTCCATAGTACGAAGTGACACAAAACATCAACTATTACTAAGTAGCAGGAAGCTGGGTTTACTAGCTTATCCTTGACAAAGAAACCATACAAATAATAGCTTTGAAGACATACATGTACTAATATGCTGTGATATATTAAAACTTGTGTTGCACCGGTCACGGCCTACAGTATGTATATTATGTAGGCTCGGTTATAATTGTTTATGCGTGGTCAGATGTAACATAAATTACCGACCTATCAAGTACGTTTCCTGCCCCAGCCTGAAGCCGGGCTGACCGATGACTCCCTCACACTTGTTTTCAGGTAGCTCTACATATTTAAAACGATTGTACACGAACTACAGTATTTTTTTAGAGAAAAATAACTCTCCATAATTAATACCAGACTCTATTCTAAAACCTCAAAACTTTTCATTTCAGCTTATCACTTCAATCTCCACGGTAACACGAAATAGGATATTGTGATGCTGCACGTGACAGCCCTGACCTACGTATTCAGTGGAATCCACGTCACGTTGATTATCACGGAGTCGAGGTTTATCTAGAGCACGGTTGAATGTACTCCGTGTGCTGCTTTCGACATAACTGTAACGTACTGAAACCATTTCACAGGTGTTTGGCAAATAACGCAGTAGGAACATTTCAGAATGCACTCTGCTCTACATCACAGACACTAAATCTGAGCAAGACCCACCCATAATGTTAGCTTAGGCTACTGCAGTGATAAGGTCACGTATGTATTATATGCTGATTCTGGTATTTTGTTATGTCCTCGTGTGGCCACCCTCACACTAAAGATCGACCAATGTCGTATGTAAAAATCAAACATATTGATTTCGTTAACACAACAAATATAATAATGATAATAACAATCTAAAGAACTGTCTCTGATCGTTTCCCTTTTTTATACAATATACCTATTACAACATGAATACGCTATTTGATACTTGTGGATATGGTTATCTAACAACTCGTATTAATGATTTATCATCAGAAATGTGATGTAAGGGGGGAGAGCATTTAAACTCATTTTAGATAATTTCTCAAACACCTAGAAACTTTCGCGTTGTGCGGAGGGAAACTTGAAGTAAACATCTTAAAATAAAAGTGATATGGATCGACACACAAGCCAAACCTACATATCCAAGGCCTTGTCGTGGACCCGCTCCAAATACACTGCTTGTTGTACCCCTCGTCGCCGTACCAAGGCCCTGTCGTGGACCCGCTCCAAATACACTGTTTGTTGTACCCCTCGTCTCCTTACCAAGGCCCTGTTGTGGAACCATTCCAAATACACTGCTTGCTGTACCCTTGTCTCCCTACCAAGGCCCTGTCGTGGACCCATTCCAAATACACCGCTTGCTGTACCCTTGTCTCCCTACCAAGGCCCTGCCGTGGACCCATTCCAAATACACTGTTTGTTGTTACCCTTGTCTTCCTACCAAGGCCCTGTCGTGGACCAACCCCAAATACACTGCTTGTTGTACCCCTCGTCTCCCTGCCAAGGCCCTGTCGTGAACCCATATCAAATACACTGTTTGTTGTACCCCTTGTCTCCCTACCAAGGCCCTGTCGTGAACCCATTCCAAATACACTGTTCGTTGTACCCCTTGTCTCCCTACCAAGGCCCTGTCGTGGCCCCGCTCCAAATACACTGCCTGTTGTCCCCCTCGTCTCCCTGTCAAGGCCCTGTCGTGAACCCATTCCAAATACACTGTTTGTTGTTACCCTTGTCTTCCTACCAAGGCCATGTCGTGGACCCGCTCCAAATACACTGTTTGCTGTGCCCTTGTCTCCCTCCCAAGGACCTGCCGTGGACCCACTCCAAAAAAACTGTTTGTTGTACCCCGTGTCTCCCTACCAAGGCCCTGCCGTGGACCCATTCCAAATACACTGTTTGTTGTACCCTTGTCTCCCACCCAAGGACCTGTCGTGGACCCGCTCCAATTACACTGCCTGTTGTACCCCTTGTTTCCCTACCAATGCCCTATCTTGCACCCACTCCAAATACACTGCGTGTTGTACCCCTTGTCTCCATACCATGGCCCTGTCGTGGACCCGCTCCAAATACACTGCCTGTTGTACCCCTAGTCTCCCTGCCAAGGCCCTGTCGTGGACCCATTCCAAATACACTGTTTGTTGTACCCCTCGTCTCCCTACCAAGGCCCTATCGTGGACCCACTCCAAATTCACTGCGTTTTGTACCCCTTGTCTTCCTACCAAGGCCCTGTCGTGGACCCACTCCAAATACACTGTTTGCTGTACCCTTGTCTCCCTCCCAAGGACCTGTCGTGGACCCACTCCAAAAAAACTGTTTGTTGTCCCCCGTGTCTCCCTACCAAGGCCCTGTCGGAGACCCATTCCAAATACACTGCCTGTTGTACCCACTGTTTCCCTACCAATGCCTGTCGTGGACCCGCTCCAAATACACTGCTTACTGTACCACTTGTCTCCCTACCAAGGCCCTGTCGTGGACCCGCTCCAAATACACGGTTTGCTGTACCCTTGTCTCCCTCCCAAGGACCTGCCGTGGACCCACTCCAAAAAAACTGTTTGTTGTACCCCGTGTCTCCCTACCAAGGCCCTGTCGGAGACCCATTCCAAATACACTGCCTGTTGTACCCATTGTTTCCCTACCAATGCTTGTCGTGGACCCGCTCCAAATACACTGCCTGTTGTACCCATTGTTTCCCTACCAATGCCTGTCGTGGACCCATTCCAAATACACTGCCTGTTGTACCCATTGTTTCCCTACCAATGCCTGTCGTGGACCCGCTCCAAATACACTGCCTGTTGTACCCATTGTTTCCCTACCAATGCCTGACGTGGACCCATTCCAAATACACTGCCTGTTGTACCCATTGTTTCCCTACCAATGCCTGTCGTGGACCCATTCCAAATACACTGCCTGTTGTACCCCTTGTTTCCCTACCAATGCCCTATCTTTGACTCACTCCAAATACACTGCGTGTTGTACCCCTTGTCTTCCTACCAAGGCCCTGTCGTGGACACACTCCAAATACACTGCGTGTTGTACCCCTTGTCTTCCTACCAAGGCCCTGTCGTGGACACACTCCAAATACACTGCGTGTTGTACCCCTTGTCTTCCTACCAAGGCCCTGTCGTGGACCCACTCCAAGTACACTGCGTGTTGTACCCCTTGTCTCCATTCCATGGCCCTGTCGTGGACCCACTCCAAATCCACTGTTTGCTGTACCCTTGTCTCCCTCCCAAGGACCTGCCGTGGACCCACGCCAAAAAAACTGTTTGTTGTACCCCGTGTCTCCCTACCAAGGCCCTGTCGGAGACCCATTCCAAATACACTGCCTGTTGTACCCATTGTTTCCCTACCAATGCCTGTCGTGGACCCGCTCCAAATACACTGCCTGTTGTACCCCTCGTTTCCCTACCAAGGACCTGTCGTGGACCCACTCCTAAATGTATCCGCTCCGAACCAGGGCTAGCTACGCCTCCAGGCTACCGTAACCTGTTAAGACTTAACATAAGGATAACATTCCATCAAATCTAAAGTAAAGTTTTTATATGTCACGTGATAACTATGTATTGTTGGTCAATTCATCAACGGTACCGATTCGCGGCATGTTATTGAAATGAAAACGAGGCATCACGTGACAAATGTTTGCATACACAAGTAATGAGCCGCATTAAATAGTCGGATGATATATCTAATTGCATTTCCGTGTAGTAACATATAATGGCGGAATATGTAACTCGGGATTAAAAAACGTCAGAATATTAATTAATTCAGACCGGAGCGTCCTTCATAAATTATTTATCACAACATGTTTTCACCCTCGTTATATATTCCATACATAATATACTCTTAATTAGTACTGTCGCAATAATATACTCTTAATTAGTACTGTCGCAATAATATACACTTAATTAGTACTGTCGCGACAATTACCCTGCATGTAGCATTCTTTCTGTTATATTACGCCTTAGAAGACAACATTTAATGTGTGAAAATAACAGTAGTCAGGTCTGATTTGTAGAACTACAGAAAAGCATTTTCCGTTAATTATTTTATTTACCTGGTATGCACTGGTAACCCTTAGCCTATAGAAGACCGGCATATAAATATGAGCGGCTGCTCCGATGGTGAAGAAGTAGCCCAGTCCAATCCACCAGTACATGGTCGTATAAGTGTACATCTCCGACGGCGTCCCTAGCAACGTAATGGCTGACATGAAGCTGGCCAGGAGGGACAGGGCCACAGGGATGGCGCTCATGTTCCCTCCCGCCAAAAGGAAGTCTTTAATGTTCTGTCTTCTTCTGTCTTTGATGGCGTAGAACATACCAATGCCAGCAGACACACAGAGAAGGAGGCCGAACAAGACATAATCCACCACCCCGAATGTGTTCCTTTCTCCAGTCTGAAAACTGTATTTCTTTTCTTCGTCCATGTTATCGTATCTACCGCTTCTTCGGGACTGACTGCAGCATGTAACTCACAAGTATGTCAAACTATCAGAATAAGGTTGTAAATAGTCTTATCTACTACCGTAAACGTTGCGATCTAGCTGCTGGCTCCTGTTCTCCAGCAGTCCTAGTATCAGAATGCTAATGCCTTTTAAATACGTGGTTTAACTTAGTTACGTTTCACAACAGACTATATCGTAAAAGTAGGTTTCCACACCAGCCAAGTTTCGCGGGTTAAGATAATTGCACAATTACAAAGTAGATGGAAATCTCATACAGCCTCGATCCGTACGTTGACCTCTGCCTTGCGGTGCTGTGCCTCGAGTTCACACACGCGGGCTATTTGTTGTTTTAGTGTGAAGCTGAATGAAGCGCTGGTCTAGATTTTACTTACGGGTCGTGCTATTCCATATTATCGCTTATAACGAGAGAAGTGAGGGCCGAATAGCACGTGGAGTTCAGCACACATTGCCATGTGTTCAATAGTTTATCAACGAAAAGAAACAGGTAATAAATAGACAGCTGTTATAGCTACGTAGATGCGTTCATGTCCTGACTTTCGGCGACAGTAGATAACACGCTTAAATTATAAGTAGAACATTTGTATGGTGGCATATTTCTGCCATCATCTAGCTGCTTACGTATGTCGACATAATTATTGAAAGATGTCGACATAATCTGAGAAGATGTCGACATAACTTTTAAATTATGTCGACATATTATCACATTTGCCGAGATAATTTTGCCGAGATAATTATATCGTAAGTGGGTAACTCGGCTTTTTATCGTGTTAATGCTCGGGTGTGACAACGACTTGCTACTGACGACTTGCCACTTACGACTTATTTATGTAAAATCCCTCTGTGATTAATAAACTCTGTACATCATAGTAACCTACTGTAATATCCATATATTTGATTTCCCATATTTACATTGATTTTACCAAGTTACTCACCAGTATAGTCACCACTGTCAAGTCAGCATCAGCCCACCTTCGCGGTCCTCATGCACAAGCCTCGGTTTGGGAAGTCGGAAATAATCTACTAGGATGTCGACATAAATAAGTCGTAAGTGGCAAGTCGATGTCACACCCGAGCATTAACACGATAACAAGGCGAGTTATCCACTTACGATATAATTATCTCGGCAAATGTGATAATATGTCGACATAGTTTAAAAGTTATGTCGACATATTCTCATATTATGTCGAAATATTCTCAGATTATGTCGACATCTTTCAATAATTATGTCGACATACGGAACTCGTAAGTCGCAAGTGGATGGCAGAAATATGCCACCATACTTTTGTATAAGACTTCTGACACCTTCACAGACAAGGGTAACGTCGCTACACCAAAGCGATGCCAATCGAAGACAATCTAGATAACCACAGACCAATATATATAGTGTCAACCTTGTCAACAATGTGATAAAGGATAATCTGCTTCACAATGCAGAGTCAGGTTTTAGGACAACATTAATGCCAGACTAGAATCCAGTACACCTGGTAGATAACTAGATTGCTACCGTTTATAGAAATGTTGTACTTGTATAGAGGAAGGTGAATGGGTTGTCACCCATCACCGATAAGTTATGGCAGTGTGTGTTCTCACTTGTACCCAAATCCTAATGGACAGCCGTACATGGGACAGAAGTGGGAATAACTGTGAATAGAATGGAGTTTATGGAATAGTTTTATTAAATAAAAAATAATTATTTGCATCATTAAAACCAAAATTATAATTCTGAACGATAGTGTATGTTAATTGTTTTTGTTTTCCACAGCTTGTAAATGTAAACACACACAGTCAATTCACAATTATCATGAGACATATCATGTTGCACATAACTGTACAGAGCAGGACCTCTTCTCACACAAACCGAGTTTGGCTGCTGACCTGTCACATACATTTTGTGTAGAGATTAGGTAGCCAGTGGTTTGCCTGGATAACGAATCCCGGCCTTTAACAGAGCTTTCGATTAGTAAATCTTAAAGGGTCTCGTTATCAAATTCTAAATACATCTAGTTTTCCTCATAATTACACAATAAATGTCTGTTGTTAATCACGGAAAACATCGGTTTTTCCCCACTTGACACCATCTACAGTGTCACAGAGATGCGTGCTTTACTTTGTCCCGCTATAGTTTATATATAGTAACATGCAGGCTTGAGGGATTATATTGCCCCTTCATTTTTTATTATACCGATGTCGAGAGTCTTTATCTATACTCTTTCACTACCGTCTGCAGTGAAGTCTCGATAAACAAACTGAGGGGTCAAGGTCGAATACCAGTTGTATTCACCTTTCACATGTGACGGAGCCACTGGTTTGTCTTTGATGTCATAATTATGAGACAATGCACTGATTTCTATTTACAGTTTATTTGCATCTATATACATATATACAGGTACATGTCCATACGTTCACCGCAACACTTTCCCTGCTCACACGTTGTCTCTCCAACGTTCGTACCACAACTCCCAATAGTTACGTCCTCTCTCGTGCACCTCACAAAACTAAACTGAACTCTACACCCACACACAACCTGTCCTATCTCCACTGTAACACACACCACCCTTCGTTCTCGTGACACTGTAACACACACCACCCTTTGTTCTCATGACACTGGCCATTCTCAATTAACATTTCTCCCTAACGGTCCGAGCTTTAATTGACAACTTATTAAGATCTCCAGAACCAAGTACTATGTCTCTACATTTAAATTGCACGCCTAATCTTAAACAATTAAACAACTACAGACTCTCCACAGACACTCACTGATAAGTACAGCTGCGGCTGACACAAGAACCACTGACCACTCTGACCCCTATACTGGCCCACTTGACTCTCCTACTACTCTCAAAGGTAACACTTTTTCACACACTTAACTGGTTCGTTTATTTCATGCGGGAGGTTACGGAAGCTGCCGATTGAAAAGGACAGCGAAGTCAATGCAAGTCCGGTAAACAATAAAAAAAATAATTCTTTTTTAGAAAAATTAAGTAGAGACTTATTATTAATAATATACATACATGAGGATACTTTACATCTTCTCCAAGACGATACCACATAAAACAACAATTATGCCGATTGCCAGGACACATCATCGTACACACAAACACAAATTATCATTGTGTGAAATTGTAATTATGCAGCTAGCGTATACGGGAAATGGATTGAATACGGAGTTAACAAATCAAATTATGATATAAAGGGTTCTCCTTATTAAAGTCATTGATAGAGGCAGGTCAGCAGTCGTCGTAGACACCATTGATTATAACGGCAAGGTCGTGACACTGCTACAGGTCAGCAGTCGTCGTAGACCCCAATGATTATAACGGCAAGGTCCTGACCCTGATACAGGTCAGCAGTCGGCGTAGACACCAATGATTATAACGGCACGGTCGTGACCCTGATACAGGTCAGGAGTCGTCGTAGACACCAATGAATATAACGGCAAGGACGTGACCCTGCTACAGGTCAGCAGTCGCCGTAGACACCAATGAATATAACGGCAAGGTCGTGACCCTGATGCAGGTCAGCAGTCGTCGTAGACACTAATGATTATAACGGCAAGGTCGTGACACTGCTACAGGTCAGCAGTCGTCGCAGACACCAATGATTATAACGGCAAAAGGTCGTGACCCTGCTACAGGTAAACAGTCGTCGTAGACACTAATGATTATAACGGCAAGGTCGTGACACTGCTACAGGTCAGCAGTCGTCGTAGACCCCAATGATTATAACGGCAAGGTCGTTACCCTGATACAGGTCAGCAGTCGCCGTAGACACCAATGAATATAACGGCAAGGTCGTGACCCTGAGACAGGTCAGCAGTCGTCGTAGACGCCAATGATTATAACGGCAAGGTCCTGACCCTGATACAGGTGAACAGTCGTCGTAGACACCAATGAATCTAACGGCAAGGTCGTGACCCTGAGACAGGTCAACAGTCGTCGTAGACACCAATGAATCTAACGGCAAGGTCGTGACCCTGAGACAGGTCAGCAGTCGTCGTAGACACCATTGATTATAACGGCAAGGTCGTGACACTGCTACAGGTCAGCAGTCGTCGTAGACACCATTGATTATAACGGCAAGGTCGTGACCCTGAGACAGGTCAGCAGTCGTCGTAGACACAAATGATTATAACGGCAAGGTCGTGACACTGCTACAGGTCAGCAGTCGTCGTAAACACCAATGATTATAACGGCAAGGGCGTGACCCTGCTACAGGTCAACAACTTCAGGCCAATCTTAGCTATCATGCCTAGATTAAAACAACAGAGATACATACATGAGGATACTTTACATCTTCTCCAAGGCGATACCACATAAAACAACAATTATGCCGATTGCCAGGACACATCATCGTACACACAAACACAAATTATCATTGTGTGAAATTGTAATTATGCAGCTAGCGTATACGGGAAATGGATTGAATACGGAGGTAACAAATCAAATTATGATATAAAGGGTTCTCCTTATTAAAGTCATTGATAGAGGCAGGTCAGCAGTCGTCGTAGACACAAATGATTATAACGGCAAGGTCGTGACCCTGCTACAGGTCAACAACTTCAGGCCAATCTTAGCCATCATGCCTAGATTAAAACAACAGAGAAAGATTACCGAATCCCAATACAGATAGCTGCATCACTATGCAGAGAACATCTCCAGGCTATACTTCACACCCAAGGTCCACACACAAGGCCACCCACTGAGTCCTGTATTTTTGGATATTTTCTTGGTCCATTGGTTAAAATGTATCCAGGTCTTTAACAGACATTCTTGGACAGCTAGAGGGTAAATAGGAGCACCATGTGAAAATCTTGTAACAACGAGCGGGCAAGCTATATACACAATCACGATTCAGAAAGACGACAACAAAATTAACATTATATTTTTCACATTGCGTAGCAACACGAACCTCCAGATTCAGGACAACACGGTTTGGCTGAAATATTTGTGCAGACCACACCGCATTTCAGTTTCCGAGATAAATTGACATATTCCACACAACAATAAGGCTGGTAGCTTCAAGTTCATGTATCCTTATGCTTTAAATTTTCTCCCTGAAAATCCGTTTGCTCATTTTTTTTTGAGGTATTTTTGAAGTGATCGAGCGCGTACGTTCATGTGTGATACCAACTTAGTATAGAATCGTCGACATATATGTTTAACAACGTTGTCTGAAACAGGGACAAAGTTTATATCACGGCATGTTCTGAGAACTAAAAAGAAATAACCTATTATTTACATAATATGGACGATCAGTGACAAGTTGTAACTGCTCATTTCGTATCATGTGGCCATTCCTGTACAATATCATTCTTGTAATTCTATCCACAGTATATATATTGAATTTAATTTTTCTGAAAGGATTCAAAACGGAAACCGTTTTCAAAATGAATCCTTTGGTGCCTCTTTTAATTCGAGACTCCTTTCATTTTCATAAGAATACGAGATGTTTTACATAACCCCCTATTGTGCCTCTTTAATTTTTATGTCAATTTTCAAAACGTCCACTTTTCAAACGCTCCAGGAA